TATTTAGTCACATAAAATCTCACCCTTTAAGTAATACTTATTATTTTTATATGAATATGTATATTCCTTATCCATGAGAATTCTTTCAGTGTGTTTGGTATAAGTTTTCATTTGAGTTTGATAGGAAAATGTAGGTTGGTATTGAAAAAGACCATATTTGGTTCAAGTTTTGAAAAAAAAAAAACTAGCTAAATAGGAAGTCTAGGCAATTAGATTTGTGTTATTTTTTTGCTCAAACTAACTATTCTCAAATATCACTTTGGGTGTGATATTTTAGGATAGGTGGAGAAGTGATATTTAGGAAAACCAAGTTATTGATGTTGGACTTCCATTTTTAGGTAGTGGTTTGTTTAAAAAATATTGATAATGAGAGTGTTTTAGTCAATTCAAGCAATTTTTCTATAACTATTTTACATTCAACCAAATAGACTTTGTAAATTTACATAAATTTTTCCGATAACATTTGTGAACCAAATATTTTTTTTAGACTTTTTCATCAAACTCACTTTCATACTATTTCTCCATTAATTATGTTTTTCTAATAAAAAATAAATATCTCCTCCAGGCTTTGTTTCACCTTACTTACATGGCTTGTGGATATTTGAACCAGATACCCTGTGGATATTGTTTCTTTTACCTACCTCTTCTCTCGGGTCTTTTCAACTCCCTTTTACCCACCCAATTTGCCTGTAATCTGAATGGAGATTTTTCCTTGTAAGTTTTCTGTATTGGATATATCTTTGGTAAAGAAGAGAGGCGATGGGAGTCATGTCCTTTTGTTCAATTATCTCTTGAAACTAAATATTTTTGCTGTTTTTTTACTGAAAAGGCCAACTAAGAAAGTTATATCCAATATTTTTAATGTTTATTTCTTCTTTCTCTTCGTCCTCTCTTTTTATTATTTTCTTCAGACGCTGGTAGATTGTTTTTAGCATGCCTTCGAATCTAGTTGGGCCGCATCTTTGAATGATTCTCATTTTTGCTACTCTAACCTTTTCTTTAATTTCGTTCACTCAATAAATGCTTAACGGATTAATTTTTCAACAAATGATGACGCAATTACACTACTTTTTACTATCAATTCGCTCAAATAATCGCTTATCAGAATAATTTATACACAATTAATCGTTCGCTATACTTCTTCAAGCAACTTTCCAAATGTGAATAATTGAATTACTAATATGAAGTTATGACAGTGAGATTTTAATGTGTTACACTCCGTAGTTAAAGTGGCATCTCTAGTTATATTCTATTATATATTTTTTTATATTATATTATATTCTTAATTCTTAGTACATGGGATACATTCAGGTAATGGAGAACAACCTCAAAGGTAAATCAATGTGACATTACTTGGCTTGCTAGTATTCTTTCATTTTCTTGAACTTAGATTGAGTTCAAATGTACACATTGCTGGCGAGTTGTCACTTATTACAAAGAATAACTCAAATTTAAATTGATGAAATTGATCCATCTTTCATTCTGTTTTTTAGGTAGATATTATATTTTATAAAGAATAACTTCAACCCAAAATTTTAAAGTATTTGGTGAGAGTCTTATTAATAATTTATATTATTCTTTAATACACACTCTCATTTGAGCTGGAATCGTGAATATTACACAGAATCAATTTTTGATTTAACATGTACTTATTTAATTCCACTAGAAAGTGAAGGGCAGTGAGGATTGAACTCATAACTAATGCCGAAAGCGTATAGAAAAGTGGCTAAACAGAAAGTTAAGATTTCATAAGAGAGTAACCCTCCGGTTCTCAATTTCTAATTATCAAATAACAAAATTCAACTCCTAGAATAAGTGTTATAAGCACCCTTTTATATACTAATTACAAATTGATTCAAAATTCAAAAATCTAAAATTCTAAAAATAATAAAACTTTCTAAAATAAATATAAAAGTAATTAACATCTAAAAAAAATTAAAAAATTACAAATAAAAAATTCAAAATACATCCCAAATCTTTAATTTCAAATCACGTCAAATATGTTGCTTTCCTTTTTTTCCCAAACAAATCACAATCACATTTGCTAGTTTATTGGGACTTGAATTCGATTGTAATTTGTTATATTTCAAATCATTGCTTTTTTCAATAATTGGGTCATATTTATTGGGCCACAACTCTAGTTGACTACGAGCTTCTTGAATCAATGATTAAGCCATGTACAATGGGCCAACTGTAATTGCACAATAACTTTATGATCACTGAAATTCTAATATCATATAAAAAAGCACTTTAATTTAAAATTATAAGATATTGGATTAAGATCTTTTTAATAATTTATATTATTCTTTAACATATCTATTATCTATTATGCTATGACAACATTTAGGATTTGCAAAAAAGTAAAAGCAACTCAATTTGGTGTGGAAAGTTATGGCCAAATCTTTTCACTCAGAATACTGAAATTTGAAAATGTGAAGAATTGATAACGGCAAAGATGCAGGGGTATTTGTGCTTCTACAAAAAAAAAAAAAAAAAGCTTAGTGGGATTGCTAGAAAAGCGATGACAAAGGAAGTGGAAAAAGAAGTCGGTGACTCGGTGAGATCAAAAGTATAAGAAACGAACTTTTTTTTTTTTTTTTTTTTTTATCAGAATGAGTTTGTGTTTATAATGAATAAATAAAGGGAAAAGTGTCTATACTTTTAAATTACACAACTTACATCCTTTCACTCTCACAAAGAGGTGGGACCCACAAGTTTTTTTTTTTTTGTCAACTCTCTCTCCTCCTTTATCTATCTCTTTCTCTCTCTTAAAATGACACAACTTTACATCCTTCAAAATTATACACACTTTTCCCATAAATAAAAGATGCATTATTCTTGCCTAAAAAAAAAGTATTATTCTTGAATGTTAACGAATTAATATTATAAATCTATAGTACATAATTAAGATTTACTGATACTGACATTAATATAGCTGAAAACTAATCTTTTTATATTTCTTTGAATTATTTTTAAAACAAACTATTTCCTTTCTCTTTTAGGCAATGTACATTTGCAAACTATTATTTCAAGTAAGCTGAATTTCACATTTGTAATAAAACTAAATTTTATTATAGTTTTTGTTCATCATAAACAAAACTACAAAATTCAGGTCCCATGCGAATGTTGTTTGAAATATTAAGAATCAATTATAATATTAAAAAGATTTTATTATAATTATAATATTAAGATTCTTGATATTACCCATTAAATGTTACATGATCCGATTAATTACTGATACACTTAATCTCAATCATTGATTTGATTTGATATATGATGAACTTACCAGATTATAAGTTATGGAATATATATATATATATATATATATATATATATATATATATATATATAAATGATCATCTCTCCCCCTTCTATTTTTTTATTATTCTTTCTTAAAAAAAAAATTATCGTATTCACAATCTCAAAACTCAAATTGGATCATAACTCAATGGAAAACAAAAGTTTTAGTTATTTTATTTTACTTATTGAGCGGTCTCCACCCCTTTCTTTTCTTGCCCCTAAAGTCATTCTCTCTGAGGGTGTAAATGGGCTGGGCTGAGCTTTGGCCTTTTTGGCTCAAGCCTACGTCAAAAAAAATTCAGTCTATCTGGCCTACTGGCCTATTAAAGACTTTATTCGTAGACCAAGTCCGGCCCATTTTTAAAAATAAGAAAGCCTGACATGGCCTACAAGCTTTGTAGGCCTCCCACTGTAGATACTAAGCAAAAAAAAATAATTGTATAGAGCAAAGAAAGTTCCATTCATGCATGCACTAGTACTTCTTATAAGAAAAAAATGACAAACAAGAAAGAGTCAACATAACACCCCAGCTCTAGAATGTATATCATAGAGGAATAGAGTCAAAGAAATGGAGAAAATAAGAAAAATACAATTACCGGAAGCTGAAATAAAGTCTACAAGAGAATGTCATTTATCTAAAAATCTTTAAACCACCATCAAGACAAGGGAAATAAGAGTATTATTGAAAGATCTTCATCATCAGTAACATCATAATCCAGCAAGGTACCCATTACTCCTTGGTATTAAGCTGCAACAACATGTAAAATTTGGAGACATTAGACAAGTTTTCCTTTCATAAAATAAAATAGCACAAAAAGTAAGAGATATTGGTATTTGGTACTTTGCGTCTTTGCCACATAAAATAAATATTATTTTATTATTTTATTTTAATAAATTAAATAGGTCAGCCTACAAGACTGTAGGCCGGGCTTGACAAAATTGGCCTATTTGTTAAAATTTTTTTTTATAAGCCTAAGCCTACTCTGCTTTTCTGAAAGGCCGGACCTGGGCTGGACCAGCCTGACCCATTTACACCCCTAATTCTCTCCATCAGAATACATATCAAAGTAAAGAAAGCTTAGAGAGAGAAACTATCCTAACACAATTGCTCATGACCGCTATTAATCCTTCATCATTGTTTTCGGGTATGTCTTTATCTCTTATTTGTACGTGAAAATCATGTATTCTTAAGACCTTTTATCATGTTCTTATTTTATAATTTATGAACATGATATATTATGCAAACATTAAAAAAAATGATGTTTTCTGTATTTTAATTTTTTTTTACACCCCATTCTGCTAAATATTACAAGAAAACGTGGATTCGCAGGTGGATTCCATTAGGACTTGTTGATTTCGCACTAACCTTGTCTCATCCGCATAAGGAAGACACAAAAAAGTATTCTTTTATATTGATTGAAGTTCGGCACGGGAATTCTTGCTTGATTTTTTAATATATATTTTTAATGTAAAATTAGTGTCCTTTCCAAATCATAGTGCATCCTTTATTCTTTCCCTTTTATACCCCACCGAGTTTGCCTACTTAAGATGGCAATCCTCCTGCACTGCTTCATACCATTACCACCACCAAGTTCTCTTTTATCTTTGTTTTCTCACAAGGTTGTCCTTTTCTCTGAATCTGAGCTGTTTCTGTTCCAACCTTGGACCATGTTCCAGTCACACATGAAACATGGTTCTACTTTTTTTTTTTTTTTTTTTTTTATGGTTTAATTTGATCAGTTACCAGCTTTTCTTGTTCTAAATTTCTGTGAACTGTCACTGGCCCTCCCTCTTCTGTCTTCATATTCCTTTTATAATAATATCTTTCCCTCTCATCTGCTCTATGATTATGCTTTTCTAATCAGTTTTCTAGGAAACCAAATTTACACACTTGTTTTCACAATTTGCTTATTAAATCCAAAAGGGTCTAATTGCTCTGTTCTGGGGTGTGTGAGGGTAGCAGGTGCTCTTTGAGAGGTACTCATGTCTTCACAGGAGAAGAGCAAAGCAGGGAAAAAGTTGCAGAAGAGCTACTTCGATGTGTTGGGTTTGTGTTGCTCTTCTGAGGTGCCCTTGATCGAGAACATCCTGAAACCTCTAGAAGGAATCAAAGAGGTTTCAGTCATCGTCCCATCAAGGACTGTCATTGTTGTTCATGATAGTCTTGTCATTTCGCAACTTCAAATTGGTAATTCTTCTCTCTTAATTACTTTATCCTGTTTTTAGTCATATCTTGTTTGTGACTCTGTGTTGGCCGGTGCCACAGTTTCGATGTCCTGGCGCGACCCTTGTGACACATATATATGACTCCTGAAAACTTGTGTCAGTTGTGTGCATCATGTGATAGAGAATCAAATCAAATGCTAGTGTTTTATTGTTATTGTTTGGACCACATTGATGCCACGCATCACCGAACATTTGTAATTGGTTATATCATATTGGCGTGGCAACATTTAGTGGGGTCAAAAGCTTAGTATATATGTGAAACTAGCTTTTGCTGACTGTCTTACGTGTTTTCTCTTTTTTTTCTTTTTTTCATTGAATAAGAGCATCTTTTCACGAAGTGTTCTTTTGCTTAAAAAACGTAACTTCGTTCTTGATGTCATATATGCATTACTGATGAAAAAGGAATACCCCTTCATCTTACTTTATCAACACTTGGACAAAGAAATAACGCTTGAACTGATGGATGAAAGTTTTTAGACTGAGGTGTAGCATTTCTTCAGTGCTATTTTCCTTTTGCTAAAAATAAGAAAATATAGGACTCAGGTATTATTAATCATAACTGGGTGGATAGGTGAAATAAATAAATAAATAAAGTTAGATATATATTTATTTCTTAATTGTGATAATGTTGGACTGAATCTTTATACTTCAGAGTACCAAAGATAATGAAATTAAATAGGTGAATATTCTCATTCTTTTACTCTGTATGTATCATAAGGATGACATTAAATAGGTGTAATACAACCCCTAGCTCAGTTGGAAGCTGAGCTCCCAAGGGATTGCTTGGTGCAGGGATCAAACCCTGTCTCAAGCAGTTTCTTGGAAAATCTTTGGGGGCCAGAGGATAAGCCAAAAAATCTTCGGTTGGGGGATTAGTCTCGTCCTTTCTCCGGTTGCGAAGCGTAGTGCACCCACTGTTACAATGAGGGGCTAGCCCAAACGGGCCGTACCCCGAGTGCAATGTACCAAAAAAATAAATAAATAGTGTAATACATAGTGAAATTTTAGAATAAGATACATTTAATATTTACTATAACTATTAAGCATAATTATAAAAAAAAACGACTTTGGGACCTGACACGTTGATCTTGTGATCTTTTCTGCCCCCTTACACATTTTTTTTGGCAGCAAATGTATTTTTCGGTCTTTGTTATGCTCACTTTATTACATTATCCTATAGCATTTACGCACTAGGAATAAAGTTAGGCAATTTTATCTTTATGCTTTTGATAAGCTTTAGCTTTTTATACAAAAGATTTGATTTTTCTTGTGTCGTGACAGTTAAGGCTCTCAATCAAGCAAGACTAGAAGCGAATATCAGGGTGCTCGGTGACGCAAAGCACCAAAAAAGATGGCCAAGCCCATACTCAGTTGCTTCTGGTGTGTTACTTTTGCTTTCGTTTCTGACGTTTGCGTACCATCCTTTGAAATATGTGGCTCTCGGAGCAGTCGCTGCCGGCGTCTTTCCGATTATCTTAAAAGTTATCGTCTCCATTCGGAACCTTAGACTTGACATAAACATTCTCATGATCGTAGCAGGTAATCAATTGCATTTTCCAATGCTTTTTTTTGTGCATATAAAATATGGCAACTAGTTCTATTTATCAATAAAAAAGTAATTTCTATAATTATAAAATTACTACTTGTTAAAAAAATTCATCCTTTCCTGTGCCTTTTACTAGGGGACAGAGGGTCTTATTTTCGTTTTTAGCATTTAAAATGAGCACATCTAATAAGAAAATTGTGAATGGGTATAATTTATTTGACAGTTTCAAATTGTATATATATTAATTTGGACTGCTGCGCAATTCTCAATCGAATGATTTTCTTGAAATTCAAATAAAAGCTTCGAATGTGGATGAATTGGGAAAAACTAATTTTTTTTTTTTTTTTTTTTTTAATTTCAAGAAAATCATTCGACATATATATGGGCTTTTGGTTGAGAGGCTGGATAACTATACGACATTTGGATCATATATATTTCCTTTCCACATCTCATCCCCACTTTCATGTACATGCACCTCACACAGGGCGTGTTGTCTCACAACATTGTATAATAGGACAAAATGGTTAGCATGATTTTCACCTTCCCCTGTAAATATCCCTCTCTTCCGTTGAGAAGTCACCTTCGACACACTATATATTATGCTGGATTTTAGTCACATATAAACATCATGCCATTCACTTCCCCTGATTCTCAACATGTGGTGACTCCACTGAGTTCTATTTGATATCATTATCCCACTTATTCATTGTTACATCAACTTACTCTATACCCGTAAGTCCCAAATCACTCAAACAATTCAATATATATTCACCAAAACAATGACTCTGGTGGTGGCTTACAAAAATTTGTCTTGCATAAAATATTTATTTCTCTCTCTTTATTTACCTGTTTTGTAAAAAGCTTATTTAAAAGAATTTAAATCTTTACCTGTTTAGGACATGAATAATTCTATATACATTTTTCACGTAACCTTGAAAGAGATAAACGTTAAAACTGACACTGCACCAAATTTGTCCTATGCAAATTGTGTGTTTATATCTCTTCGCAATACTTGACGTGTGAGAAAGAGGATCCAGATCCATACGTACACTTATCCGTGCCATAAAGGAAATAACAAATAAATATTGTCGTATGCTCATAAAACTGGCATCCCAATTCCCACCCAAATTTTGAAGTTTGATGTATATAGGCCCTTAGCAGTAGTTCACGGTAGAAGAATTTTTTTTTCATGAGTGAGGTTTATTTCCTTTTTTGGTTGTCTCCTTTTCATTATTGTTGGGTAAAAGTAGCAAATTTATATTATATGCGGCAATGTGAAAGCGATAAACATGACCTCCAAACCACTACCAATCTATCAAACATGTGAAGAAACTGACATAAAAAAAAAAGATGTAGGCTAACGTCATTTTGTGATGTTTGTGGAATGAAAGTGAAGACCAGACGGGAAGGAATACAATTACATACATTCTTAAAGTAGCGTAGTTGATTACTCAATTAAGTAATTAACAGTTTAGATGTGTTAAATGTATTTTTTTTAGAGATGAGTGTATATTATTTTGTCAATATATAATTTAAATAACCTTGTTAAAATATTATTTTGAATACTTATAATAAGTACTGTTTATTTAACATTTTCTTTAAATTATATCTTTTCTGCTTAAAATGTAGAGCTTAAGAAAAAAAAAGGGATTTCCTTTTAATAACTACATAATTAACTTATAGTCATTACAAAATATTATTATAACATACACATTTCTAATGAGCTGTACCACTGAATGTATTTTTTTTTTTTTTTTTTTTAAATTTGACAGTTATTGGGACAATTGTTATGAATGATTATTTGGAAGCGGGCACCATTGTTTTCCTCTTCTCAATTGCAGAATGGCTAGAGTCAAGGGCGAGCCACAAGGTATTTATATATATATATTTCTTTTTGCACTGGCTCAAGTATTATTCTTGAATCAATCAAAATATTAGTGGACTCAGATTGTATTGCAAAGCCTTAATCAAATGAAGTGGATCCTGCTTTTGTGATACACGGAGGAGAGAGCTTTTGTAAATCAGTATTGTAAAACTTCTAAACTTGGGAATTCTATGGATTCAGGCAAATGCAGTAATGTCATCGTTGATGAACATATCCCCTCAAAAAGCAGTGATGGCTGAAACAGGAGAGGTTGTGGATGTTGATGAGGTGAAAGTAAACACCATCCTAGCAGTTAAAGCAGGGGAGGTGATACCCATTGATGGAATTGTTTTAGATGGAAACTGTGAAGTTGACGAGAAAACATTGACTGGGGAATCATTCCCAGTAGCCAAACTAAAAGATTCTACTGTATGGGCTGGCACCATCAATTTAAATGGTAAATTCTTAATCTCCATTATATGTGTCATTGCTACAAGAGAAAATATAAAAAAAGGAAAAAGTTGATATTTTTTCCCCCTATACCAATTTGCTGAACGTCAATGTGTTTCCTTGATTTGTTAAAAGGTTATATTAGTGTGAAAACTACTGCACTATCTGAAGATTGTGTGGTGGCTAAAATGGCAAAGCTTGTGGAAGAAGCTCAAAATAGCAAAACCAGCACTCAAAGATTGATTGACAAGTTTGCCAAGTTTTATACCCCAGGTTAGTCAATATATCCAATATTTGATTTAATCAACTCTTGAACCTGCAATCCGGACTTAGGGTAATATTTTCTTGCTTTGGACTCAATTTCATTGACCTTATTTTTTGGTGGTAATGTTTTCAGCTGTTGTAGTCATATCAGCTCTTGTGGCGGGGATTCCAATTCTGTTAAAAGTACATAACGAGGAACAATGGCTTCACTTTGCACTGGTTGTTTTAGTAAGTGCATGTCCATGTGCACTTATCCTTTCAACGCCAATTGCAACTTTTTGTGCTTATACTACAGCAGCTACATCAGGTCTTCTCATCAAAGGGGGTGATAATCTTGAAACACTTGCAAAAATTAAGGTCATGGCTTTTGACAAAACGGGTACTATAACAAAGGGTGAATTTGTGGTGACAAATTTTCAATCTCTTTCAGATGACATTGACTTGAACACATTGCTTTACTGGTGAGGATAGCCTTCGTTTCCCTCTTACATTCACTATCTCTGTCCAACTTTCTTTGAAATATGAATTCATATTAAACATGAAAAAATAAATAAAAGAAAACACATCAGTGAATAGTGATAGATTTTCTTCTTGTATAGAAGCAGATATAATCTTGTTAGTATATTTCTTAAGCTTATTTTGAATATAGATTATATAAGATAGTTGGGTTCTGAGATAAAAAAGGGGTGAACCGGAGCAGTGGTAAAATTGTTCCTTTATGACTGAAAGGTCATGGATTCGAATCCAGGAGACAGTCTCTTTGCATAGCCTCTTTACAATTATGCAAAGGTAAGACTACGTACAAGGATTTCTTTCACCCCACAATCGCTAGTTGAGTTTAACTGAGAGTGAATTTTTTTTTTTTAGTTGGGTTCTGAGATAAATGAGTTTAACAAATTTAACTTTTCAGGGTGTCAAGTGTTGAGAGCAAGGCAAGCCATCCATTGGCAGCAACAATTGTTGATTATGGGAGGTCTCTCTCCATTGAACCAAAGCCAGAAAAGGTGACGGAATTTGAAAATTTTCCCGGAGAAGGAATATGTGGAAAAATTGACGGGAGAGTTCTTTACATTGGAAATAAAAAAATTGCTACAAGAGCTGGGTCTGAAACAGGTGAATGTCTTTCCCATATTTACGGTGACATTGCAGTTTAAGGCCAATAATTGAAATTGAAGTGTAAACTGGTAGTAATAGAATCCTGCTTATTGAAAGATATTTTCTATTACTCATTTCAATATCCCTTGTAGCAATGTAGCTAATGACCACTGAGTCTTGTGCTGTCTAGAGGTTAATACCTTGAAATGTTTTTTTTTTTTTCTGTTTTCTGGAACGGAGTGAAGTGTTCATTGTGATGGTCTTGTTTTGTAGTTCCGACCTTTCAAGGTGAAAGTCAAAGAGGAAAGACCATTGGTTACATATACTCCGGAGCAACACCAGTTGGACTTTTCTCTCTATCAGATGCTTGTCGATCAGGGGTTCAGGAGGCAATAGAACAGCTGAAGTTATTGGGAATCAAAACCGCTATGCTAACTGGGGATAGTCAATCAGCTGCAATGCAAGCACAGGAGCAGGTGTGTGATTTTATATGTTTAAACCTTCATGAATATAATATGGATACATTCTCACAAGCTGTCACCAAGAGTGTGATTTTGATTAGTATCAGATTCATATTTTCAAACCTAGTGAACTTATATGTTGTCACAGATAAATTGAATTTATATTTATTGTTTTAAGATGTCACTAGGCTGTTTATTTATCTATATGTATATATATGAATATGCTCTAGTGTTAGAATTTACTTCCAATGTACAAGTTGGAGTCATAGAATAACCTTAGATAAATACTAATGGCGAAAGTGATGTCATCTACAGCTAGGGCATGCTCTCGAGTTAGTCCATGCAGAACTTTTGCCAGAGGACAAAGTAAAAATCATCTCGGAATTTAAAAAGGAAGGTCCAACAGCCATGATTGGAGATGGTGTAAATGACGCGCCTGCATTAGCTACAGCTGATATCGGAATATCAATGGGGATTTCAGGTTCTGCACTGGCAAGTGAGACAGGCAATGTAATTCTTATGTCAAATGACATTAGGAAAATACCTGAAGCCATCAAGCTTGCAAGAAAATCTAGGAGGAAAGTCATAGAAAATATTATTTTTTCAGTCATTACTAAGGCTTCGATTCTTGGTTTGGCCATTGCTGGTCATCCACTTGTTTGGGCAGCTGTTCTTGCTGATGTTGGAACATGTCTAGTGGTCATCTTAAACAGCATGTTACTTCTTCAAAGAGGACACAAGCATGGTGGAAAATGTTGTAGATCTTCCACTAAACTACATATCCACAAGAAGGGATGTGATGGAACTAATGATAGTTCCTCTCATCATCATCATCATCATCAACATCATAGCCATAAGCATTGTTGCTCAGACAAGTCACAAAAGATGTCTCAGCCTCAGAAGTGTGCCTCCCAGACATGTTCCTCAAAGTTCCCGCCCTGTCCTTCTAATTCAAGTTTAGGTGGAAGTGTTAACCATCGTAATATCATGGAGAGTCATGATCAATGTAAGGGAAGTGAATTTCATGAAGCAGATCACTGTCATCATGGAAGATGTGACAAGAGTCAAGACGGATCCCAGAAGCATGATGCTGAAAATGAGGGTTGTTTAGATTCACACTATTTGATTCTAAATGCAGAACATAATGGTGCAGTTGCAATCAACAGAAAAGATAATTGTTTGGGGCACAAGGACCATGGGACAAAACACTGCCACAACCAAAATATTGACATGGTTTCTCATGATAGTGCTTCACTTACTTCTCCTTGCCATCTCAATATTTCTTGTCAAAAAGAAAGCCAACAATTTACTAATAAGCATTGCCACTTGATCCATGGTTGTGAAAAGCTGAAAGATCATGAATCCAAAAAAACGTTAGGATCCAATCATGACACTCAGCATAAAAAATCTGGTTGTCATTCTGATTCTAAGAAGTGTGAGACAGGTGAAATATCCATTGACATCGTCAATGAGCATGTTGAATCAGCCTTAATGCATGGTTGTCTAAGTTCTGAAGAGAAAGAAAATGGTTCCTGTTGTAAAGGCTGCTCAGACACATGCGAGAAATTGCCTGTTTTGTGTGCCTGTGAGAGTTCAAATGAGAAAGAAGTCAGTGCATGTTGCGGAAATGAGTGCTCTTCAAAAGATTCTAAGGAATCCCCTATAGTAAATGCTTGTATTAGTTTGGACAAGAGAGAAGTTGGTGGATGTTGCAAGAGCTACATGAAGGAATGTTGTGCCAAGCATGGGCACTCAGGGGCTGGTTTAGTGGGAGGTTTATCAGAAATTATTACAGAATAGGTACTAATGTCCTCATGTTGTTCTTGCAAATTTATATTTAGCAGATTTTCGTTCTATTGTATGACAAGAGTCCAACCCTGTAATTAAATATTGAAAGTGCCTATACAAGCAACATCTTGTTTCTACTCTTGTTTATAGTTTTTATAGTTAGTTGATGTGAACACATCATGGTCTTTGCGACCTCCATTTTACCAAGCAAGACTGCTTGGAGCTTGTCAAGGTAGACAAATACATTGACCAACACTGTGGCATGAGTTGAAGGTAGTTTTGTAGGTAAACCTTGCTCTGGTAAGGCATTTGGCCTTTTTATTTTGGGGTTTATAAATTTAGGGCTTTGAGCTCATCAAGGAGAAGGAGAGTCGCTCCTTTTGGCAGTTGCTTGGATAGAAGTTAAGGGCTTCTTTCTTAAATATATATGTTGCCTATACTACTCATTGATGTTAAACATACGAAGTAGCCAGTTCTCTAATTTCTATCAATTCCATCTCAATTGTGGTTTTCTCCTTTTCGCGTTTTGTTATGATATGTTGGTAAGGTAACTGAATATTTGATAGATTCAATCTACATAATGAATTCATGAGTTAGCTGTTTTTTTTTTTTTTATTATCATTAAAAAGTAAGTTGTTATGCGTGGTTAGGGGAGGTCATGGCCAGAAGAACACCATTAATGGATTAAGCGATAGTTTACCCCATAAAACTAGCTTTACGTCACATTTTAATAATAATAAAAAAACTTAAGGCATTAAGTTCATGACTTGTTTTATTTATATCGTACTTACTTATTTCATTTCTAACTAATTTATGACTTCACTATTCATATTTAAATTCTTAACATTTTCCTCTTCAATTGTGAGTTTCAAGTCCAAAATTTGCTCCCCTTCAAAGCCCAACAATATGTAAACAATGTGTGACTTCACTACTTACTTATGCTTGAATTTTCATCATTTTTGTCCCTTCAAAAGGAATATTAACCAACCCAAACTGCACTAACTACCGAATCCTTAAATACTCACCTCAACCAAACTATTCGGCTAGCCGGCACGCATGGCCAACGGGAGCTAATTTGAAGTTCCACATTAGTTAGACATAGACCAAATGAGAACTATTTAAGTGCAAAAGACTCATGGACATACAATTTTAAGATTTTAGGTTAAGATATGGTGTTAGTCCCATATCGTGATTGCAAAAAGTTTTGGGCTCCCTCCGTCACCATTCTCAACACAATTGTGCGGGAGAACATCATCAACAAATTAAGCAACAATCCATCATAAAAAGTGGGTTTTTAAGATATTAGGCTTGTTGATTTTTCCATCTACATGCTAATCACTTAATTCATTACTAATCAATATAAAACTTTATCATTTACATTTGAAGTTTTAATATAATCGCGATTAAATTTGGATTATCCTTCATTATTTTTTATTCTATATATTGGAACCAATTCATTATTACATGCTATGACATACTAATAAGCTATAAAGCACCGGCACTTCAAAAAACATAACATGTTGTGTTTAACACTTCCCGACACTCTAACACATGTTGCAAAGACTCAAAAAAAGGTTCAAAGGTTGCGTTGCGTTATGTTTTTAGTTTCAACTATTAGATTCGTTGGATTACGATTATCATTTATTGAGTTTAATATAAATATTTATGATATCTTATGTTTCTTTGCAAAATTGATGTGTAGTATAAGTTTAGATTTATTTTTTAATTAAATTATTGAATATTAAATATAATATATACTACATAAATTAAAAAATAGTATTTAATATCAAAATGTGTCGTAACATGTCGAAATCTAATATTTTTTAGAATTAACGTATCTAATATGTTTCTTTGCAAATCAGAGTCGTTGATCTTTTTTGATCTAACGGCTCTCAGATGAGGTGTCAAAGTCAAAGGATCCTACCTTATATATATATATATATATATATATATATATATATATATATATATATATATATAGGGTCAGGATCATTTTACACCAGTGTAAGTTACACTTTTAATCTTGTCCACTTATCCCACTTATATCTAAGGGCTCAAATTTTTTAGTAATATGAGCCATTGGATACAAGTGAATCAATGGTCAAGATTGAGTGTAAGACTTCTAACTCTTACACTGGTGTAAGAATATCCTGCCCCATATATATATATATGGTTTGGTGGATGTACAGTGGCTGCACCTAAGGTTTGGAGCGGTCAACTATGTACTCACGAAAGTACATAGTTATAATAAATATTATAACTATGTACTCCCGAAAGTACACCAGAGAAGAACAGTGTACTCTGGTGCACTTCCGGGAGTACATAGTGAACCGCACCAATCTTTAGGTGCAGTCACTTTATCTTAACTGTTGATTGTTGATTTCTGTCAATTTAAATGTTATAATTTATTCGGACAAACTTATTAACTGATTAGTAATTTCCAATAAAGTATAACTGTCGATTGGAGAAAATCAACTGTTAGGATTTGATGTCAAACGATCCTCCCTATATATATATATATATATATATATATATATATATATATATATATATATGGGTTTATTTTTTCTGCAGTCAATATACACAAGTTATCTACATTGAGCCTAAAACGACGTCGTTTTGAGGGCAGAAATCAAAGTATTTTTTGTAATTATAATTTATTTCAGAGTTATAATAGTCTTTCTTATTGTAATTTTTAATTTCAACCCAAAACGATGTCATTTTGAGAGTGAGTATAGATAATTTATTTACATTCACTGTAGAAACATTAAAGCATATATATATATATATATTTATATTTACAAATTCTTACAAACTACACTATGTCTGACTGGTGATACACTAAACAATAGTGTAAGACCGGTCATACTTAGTGTAATTTTTAAAATAAAAATTATAAACGGATCATTCCCTATATATATATATATATATATATATATATATATATATAAATATATAAGTTAATCGTTCTTCCAAGAGATTAAGTTATCTCTTGCAAGCCCAAAACTACGTTGTTTTGAGAGTTAGGAGAATTAATAAAGGGTATTTTGATAACTTTATTTGTTTTTATCAAAATACCCTTTATTAATTCTTCCAACCATTAAAACGACGTAATTTTGAGATTTCAATATTTTTTTTTTTAATAAGAGAAACATTTTACCTATATATAATACGTAAATCGGGCTAGGCAGAACAACGTATTATTTGTAATCCTTGACCCAATTTAAAATTTAAATTGGACTTCAAGTTTTATCCAAATTCGATCATAGGCTTAATTTTGCAGTCCAGGCCTAATTTTAAAGGGATGTGCTTGCTCTTTTCTTTTTTTAATTTTTTTGGAGGTGGATGTGCTTGCTTTTTATTCCCTAACGTTGGGGCGGTGGGAACTTAACAGTGTGTTGTGCCCCATACATGTAATCTATATTTATAACTATCTGCACATAAAAGTATTGCCTTTGGCCCAATAGAACCCTTAATGACATTGATAATAATTAGTTGTTATTTGAGAAAAAAATTAAGGTAACTATTAATTTTTGACTTTATATATTATCAAATATGTTAATGAAAATATAAAACTTCTTATAGAATTAAAATGCATAATATACTAGTTTTAGTTTATTATCAAAGTTTTAAGATATTGATTTAAAATAATCCATAAATGGGCAGATTGTATATATAAATTTTTTGTTTAAAAAGTAAAATAAAAATTTTCTAAACATAATTAAGATTGAATAAAAATTAGTAATAAAATTATAAAATAAAAATAGTAAAATGTATATAGGTTTTTATGTAATAAAAAAAATTATAATACTATATGATTTCGGTAGCATCCCTGCTTTAGCACAGAACGATTTCGATATGGCTGCATATGAGAAACTATACAAATTGATGGCGTTGGGTTTGTTTCTAGTCCTCAAATTTCTTATTTTCAATTTTTTGTGCTTTAGAGTTTGTTACTTGCTGCAGAACTCAACCCTCATGCTCTCACTCCTGATAAAGGGGTTGATTGGGTCGGTCCAGTCTGGAAACCTCTATCTTGAGCTGGGTTTCAACTTTTAACTCGATCAAAATCAACTCAGCCCATTACGTTTGTTTGTTTGTTTTTTTTTTTTAATGAACTATATGAAGTCTTTTTGAAAGTCAATCTCTTAAAGGAAGCAATCTTTGTTAACAGGGATGTGTCGTTGTATGATAACTAGTGAATTACCCGTCGTCTGATGTCTCGGGAGAAAATAACAATATATTTGTCGTCCTCCGTGGTTGGTTAATCGCACTGCAAACTTTATGCTTACAAAAATCTATGTCGTTATCTTGTTCTATATTTCAAGTGAAAAAAACTACAGCATTGACACATAACTTTGCAAATGTCAACTATAAACAAAAATATGTTATCCAGAGTGATCAATATTATGCAAATTCAATATAATTTTCTACTCGATGAGTTATGTAAAAAATAAATACGCCATAGTAGACTATGTTAAAATGAGGATGGCTAAAAAAAGAAAAATGCATACAACTTATGGCTAACTATAACAGCCACTAATAAAATCAAGGTAACAAGCAGACCAAGCAAATATGGAATTAAAAGATCAGCTTGTACCTATAATAAGAAAACGCTATTAATTCAGTGTCATTCTGTAGCAATCATTGGAGGGATGAGTTCAACACATACCAAACATGTGATTTTCTATGTTTATGCATTACCAGGGACATCCTCTTCTACCATCATATTAATGTCTACGATACAAAATGCAAATGCACATTAAATAAAATTATGTTAATATGTTAACACCCAGAAGTAATAATCTCAGCAAAAAAAAAAATGAGTTATTTTTTTTAGAACCCAAAAAACGTTGTAAAGGGACTTTAAAGCAAATTAACCAAATGGTCATATATGAGTCATATCCAGAACAAATGTGTCTAAACAGCATCAAATCAATACACATGCTAAAAACTTGTAACAATATAAAGAACCCACAATGATAAATTTTTAAAAAACAACATACATTTGGGTCCCCAAAGACTTAAAGAATGAGGTGACAATAGCTTGGCTGCTTCAAACACTTGAAACTTGATATCTTGGCTCATTACATGACTCCAAATTATTTTTTTTACTTTGACCTTAAATAACATGAATTTTTCATTAAGAACTTTAAGTTTTCTTAGATAATGTTCCAAATCAGCACCCTACGTAAAAAAACTCCTTCAAAATTAAGTATAACTCGTGCGATGGACGGGAAAAAAGAAATCTGTTT